TTATGTGTTGGCTAGATCTCGAAATGAGTGATGCCTTATGTGTTGGCTAGATCTCGAAATGAGTGATGCCTTATGTGTTGGCTAGATCTCGAAATGAGTGATGCCTTATGTGTTGGCTAGATCTCGAAATGAGTGATGCCTTATGTGTTGGCTAGATCTCGAAATGAGTGATGCCTTATGTGTTGGCTAGATCTCGAAATGAGTGATGCCTTATGTGTTGGCTAGATCTCGAAACCAGTGATGCCTTATGTGTTGGCTAGATCTCGTAATGAGTGATGCCTTGTTTAAAGTTGTAGCAATCTAAAACAGCGCAAGGGACGCGCTGGAGTCAGTATGGCCGTGTGGGCGCAAATTCATATATAATGATTATATTTTTACAAACACATAAAGATTGGTATTTATTTCAAGTAAGTATTTATTTGCTTCTATTATATATTTATATATGGGCGCAAACTCATATATAATGATTATTTTGTTACATAAATATAAAGATTGATATTTAATTCGAGTAAATAAATATATTCAAGATAATAATAAATAATATTAAGGATTGATAGTCTGTGGTATATTCATAGCATTTATTATTTATGTTTAAGGAATGGTGTTGATCAGCTGCTATTGTCATTCATCAACATTTGGTAATATCGGGGTAAAATTAGTTCAAAACCGTTATATGGTTTATTTTATTTACCATTATTAATGGATCTGCAAATTAACGACTATTTGATAGTCTGTAGTCTTTATTATAAATATTAAAGAAATTGTGTTAGTGTCAGCTGTCATTGTCATTGAATAATGTCAAAGTCGAATTGGTTCGAGGCCGTTAATACGAATGGTTTATTTAATTTGTTAATGTTGCTAGATCTATAAATTAACGACTATTCAATGGTTAATAATAATAATGACTCCATAGTCATTTATTATTATTATTGTTAAAAGGAGTTTATCATATTACTTTAAACATTTTAAACCTATTGATAATAAATATTAATCTTTGACACTCGTTTCTATGACTGCCGTTTGACTCTGTGGTCGATTCGGGTTCGGTCGTGGAACGAGTACACGAAATGTTACGAAACTTGTTTATCACAAATTCTGGTTGCTATATATATGGGAACTGGTGGGTGCGGCGCTTAGTTCTGTTGAGCGGCCGAACCAATCAGAAGCCTTTAAAAGTGGACTTTAATGTCGAAAGTAAATGGCTGGTGCCAACAAACTAATTTATGACGACAGTATTGCTGACGTCATTATCTTCAACAATTCATCGTGGAGTCTGGACACAATAATTATGGCGTTCAAACGCCGACATGTACCTACGTTGTGTTACCTATTATGAATAAATGGTTTTCGACTTTTGACTATATTAGCCATATAATCTTACAAAACGTTCAAAGGACGTTTTAGAATAATACGTCAGTATTAACCGTTACAAAATTCATACTATTATGAAGAAGTGTTGGCATAAACCCGCTTATAAAAAAAGGCTTTCTTCTTGAATAAAAACTGCACGACGAAACACTTGACAATCACATTAGCCTAAGACCGTTATCTACAACAAAGATTTCCATACAAACACAAGCCACAACAATAAAACTGGTAAAAAATACAGCTATTCTTTACTTTAGACTATACGAATTTAAATATACAGATTTAGCTTCACTTCTTAAAAATCTTTATTAGTTGAATTCTATAATGGAGATTAAAGTGCATAAAAGCAGATGAAGGAAACAAATTATTGCTGGAATAATTTCAAAGGTTACATTATAACGATGATCTCATACTGTGACCTCATCGCAAAATCTAATATTAATTGCCGATTATTGCATACAGTAGACATAAGATGATTATTATAATGACTGTAGTTAATCATTTTTATATGAACAAGGAATAATAATTATAGAATACTATATATATATTAATCTTTGAAAAACTCAATATTAATAGAGCAATTTAAATATGTAATTTTAGCATTTAAGATTTGACTATAATCACTATTTTTAAAGTAGAGATTTATGTGTTCAACTGACATAAAATTATTTTTCGTTTTAGTTAGCAAGTTAAAAACATAAATTTCTTGCAAATTATTTTATTTCAATAAAATTGTCTATAGGAATAATAGTATTTTAATCTATAGATAACCAGAAATTATTTAAAAATATAAATAGTAAAAAAACCTAGTTAAAAAGCCATAAAAGTGTTAAATGTTACCAGTATAGGTATAAGGGTAACATTTAACCAGTTGTTTACCAGTAAAGACATAACCGCAAAAAGACATTAAAAATATTTAACTCTCCGTAAGTAAAAACCCCACTGTCATTAGCTTATTTTCTTTGATTACATAATGTTCCATGCCAAGGTTTGCGGTTTTGGTGTAAGCTTACAACTGATTCATCTTGATGACGTCGAGAACAGCTTCCTTATTGCCTTAATTTTATAATAAAACCTATTTTGAGGTAAACTGTCTTGGACTTGCTTGTATTTTTTGAAAGTATTAAAAGCAATAAACTTCATCCATTAAAAATTTTTTAAAAAGGTTAAAGTATTTACACTTAAGCTTTGTTATATCTTTACGGCTTACGAGCTGTATTGTCTTTCAATGTAAACAATTACTGTAGCAATTACTCGTGTTTTGCATATACAAACAGGGCCTTAAGGAAATAGTCTAATACTATTATAATGGTCTGTTGTAAATAAATCATCAAACATTGTTCATCAACCGTTTAGAGTTAGTACACAAGGCAGTTCCATATACAGGCCATTCCCTGGTATCACGTAAATGCTTGCCTCCTAAGCTTAAAACTTACTACAAATTCAAAACACTTCAATCGCGTTATAGGCACAAAAACATAATTACAATGACACGTTCGTACCAGCTGTTAATGTTTGAAGTGACACAGATTTCGAGCACAATTTATTAAGACTTAGCTTCGAGAGGATTAGTTGAATACAAATAAGCTCATACATCTTCACTTTGTATTAACACAGTTATATATACTATAACATACGTATAAAAGTTTGGCTAGTTATTAAAACAATAAACAGATATAAAAAGGAGGGTTAGCAAAATTTGCTTTTCAACATCAGATATAAAAAAAGAGGTTAACAAAATTTGCTTTTCAACATCAGATATAAAAAAAGAGGTTAACAAAATTTGCTTTTCAACATCGGATATAAAGAAGGGGGTTAGCAAAATTTGCTTTTCAACATCGGATATAAAGAAGGGGGTTAGCAAAATTTGCTTTTCAACATCGGATTTAAAAAGGGGGTTGAAAAAATTTTCTTTTCAATATCAGATATAAAAAGGGGTTAGTAAAGGAAAGAGCTAGCATTCATAAGCTTGGGAAAATAGTGTCTTTTTCATCTTCCGCAAACATCAGATGAGCACTATTCGCGCTTCATTACGCCACTCAAACGCCCTGCTTCAGCTGAGCTCGTTAAGCCAAAATAACGGCAAAATGTTAATATTTACTAAACATAAAACATGTTTAGTTAAACATAAGTATCATGTAAGCACATGTTATATGCATATTATGACGCATTATATATATTACGTTTGACCTTGACACGGTAGGAGACGTAATCTGTAAACAATTGATTCACTTTGACTTGCAAAAAAACAAAGAATTTTTTGCCATACGCATAATTTGAAAATAATGACTGTAATTATTATAAACACATTACAGAATAGGTAAATTAAACCACCTGTTAGTAAGAATAAGGTAAAAAACGTAATTAATAAAACGTAAACAAGACGCGATCTGTAAAAAATATCATAGTTTTACGATAATATTTACAAAATAGGTTGTACCCATTTCAACGTTTAGTCTTGGTATAGACAACAATTCTATAACAAAATTAATTAAAATCAAGAACAAATCTAAAACCAGTCAAAGTAATCGAATTACTTAATTTCTTCTTTTAATTTTTAACCAACACCCAAAAAACCATCACCAATCAGGCTGAACCACTAAAAGGCTAACGACCATAAGATAATATTTTAGAATTCAATTAAGTAAACTAAGTGCCCAAACAATACAATACAACAGAAAACCTGATTTGATAATTAAAAGACAAATCGTTCTATATATCCCTCAACACTAATGACAACATCAATTTGGCACCACTCAAGTGTCACCTAATTCAATTTCATTTACATAATAGTGAAAATGGAAATATTTTAAACAGTCGAACTGCTTCTGCCGTAAGAAGATCTGGTACTCCAATGGAATAGTTAGAAAAACCATGAAGGTCCAAGACGGAATCAAGAAGTACAGACTCGTACAGATCCCATTTAGTTTGGTAAAACAAAACGTAAAGTGAGTGATCCCGTCTGCATCCTTATTGCTTCAATAGGCCTAAGTTGGATAAATGGATATTTCCGCTGCATAGTTGGTAACGGCGGTAATGCCAACAGTAGACAGTGATTATTATGTGAATAAAGCAAAAATAATACCAAAGATATGAAAGAAAACATAAAAAACCCATGACATATTGATATGAAACACATAACGATTTCAAGTCCATACAAAATTGATTCAGAAATTGTGAAAATAATTACGTTTTATGAAAGGCAATAATTTTATTTCAAACGTATTGTTCAGTATTGTAAATTGCATTAAGTAAAAACAATACGTAGATACTGTCAAGAATTAATGACAAGTCAATAATGCCAAGGCTTTTATTGATCACTATTCACAGTGTCAGCAACAGAAACCTCGTGAATACACAATATCAGTCAGCATAACCTGCTAGAATATAATCACATCAAATCAAAATTAAACACAATTAGATTGAAATGTTCGTTGAAAGCCCTTGCTTTTAATACAACATGAGCAACGATTTCAGACGATAGCATCGAGGAAGATAACACCGAAAACGATAGCACTGACAATATATCTCCTTATTTAATAATAACCTTTTAAGGTAGATAAAGTAATTGTTTATTTCAATATCATCGATATAATGAACTCAATGTGCACTATTAAAAATGAATTAAACACTTACGAGCACCACGTATTACGACGACCAGAATTCTGTCGAGGCTGTACAGGTGTTTTCGGAGTTGCCTCAGGTAAATTTAATTTGAAGCCGGCAATAGATTTGCGTCTTTTGGCGGCAAGGGCACGTGAGGCCAGATCCGAACCTTGATGTTGCTCGGCTGGTGTGGCATGTGAACACACTTTCATGTGCGCCTGCGCTGTAGCCACCTGTAGAAGTTTGCTGGACAGACTTCGCCGCCCAAGGGCTTCGCAAGTCGCGCAACGTCCGTCATCCATGAGGGTCCTCGTGCGTTCGACCCGACCACGTTATATGCACTGAGCGTCTATTGTTTCTAGTGTGGTAGTTTAACTGATGTCATACGACGAGCGACACGCGCACTGCCGCTTATAAAAATCTTACACTACTTGTCTGGGCGAGAAATCGATATTTGGCCGAAATAAGCTTAATGCGATAATAGAGAGGCGATAAGGTTTAGGTACACGTGAATAAGCGATTCGAAATATCGTGGCATACACGGCTTCGCGGCGACCTCGAAGTGCGGCGCGCTCTAGCTTGGCGGCGCAAGCGACTGCGGTCAATTGGAGAAGCACACCCCCTTTGTAATATGAACATTCATAAAGATATCAATGATTGTGATGAATAATACGTGAACATGCATCGAATGACTGTTCTTACGTCATAAAATTACGAGGTTTTAGATGACATACGTACATTCTGGATACTATCCAGGTGCTCATTATAGAGATGATTAAATTGCACATCAATCATTCTCTATGGAATTAGGTGAATTTATGTAATAACGTTTAATATAAATATAGCGTCATTACAAAGTCCAAACAAATGAGACGAATTTATTTATTAAAAATATTTGGCTTTAAAATACGTATATAATATTACGTAACAATTGATTTACGATAACTTAATTAAATTATAAACATGATTCTAATCGAATTTGATTAAAGAGATTAAAATAAAATGATATTTTTTGTTGCTTAATAAGTTGTTTTATATTTTAACAGTAACTTAAAACAAATAATAACGCAGGAGGCGTTGGTTGGTAAATAATATAATGGAATTATGATCTAAAAAATATTTTTAAGAATTTTTTGATTAGTTTGAGAATCGACTACTATCTATATTTCAAACCCCTAAGTGATAAGGGGTGTCAACCCCAAATTTTTATTTTATTTATTAGATTTTTCGTTTGTTTTTATTTTTTACGATACAGCATACAAAATAACAGCGTACATAATTTTAATCTACCCTCTACGATCAACCCTTATTTTTAAGTTGAACTCTGAGGTTGATATAGAGAAAAAATCACTGAAAACCTAAAAAGTTTTTATTCCGCAAAACCGAACAGTCTCTGGGGTAGCATAGCAAAATGTTTCATGTTGGTATGTACTAAAAAGGTAGGATAAATAAATCACATTAAGGAGAAACGAAGTTCGCGGGGGCAGCTAGTAAGCATATAAGAAAGGAAGAAACATCAAGAGAAAGAATTCTGGATCACTATATTGAATTTGATTAACTGTTGTCAAGGCACATGTCAAACGACAATGACACAATGTCATACGCCGTGACCCTCTCGGGCAGAGGTAGACAAAAAAGATGAATGCCAAGACTTTGCACCTTCGACGTCGATTGATATCGTCAATGTTGCGTTTTATTGGCACATTGCTAATAAGAGACACGCCTTAATCAAACAAAAATATTATACCAGTCAATACTTATACATTTGTGATAACGATTAGGTATGTGTATATTTATTTATTTACACTTTGCTGCACATTTTACAATGTACACATAAAAATCAGGTTGCTATATTCATACTAATCTATCTTAATTATAATTCAAATAACAACTATACTATTTTAATGTAATTTTCATCCACCACCGAACCATGTTGATGTGGTAAACACTTTAAAATATTTGTGTTTAGAAATAAGACGATTCGTACTAATGAAACACAAATATTTTTTGTATGTTGGAACATCGAATGTTATAAAATTTTAATTGTTTTCAATCAATTGATAACAGCTAAGCATATACATTTAATCTAAGTTATAAATTATGGAATAAATTGCATTTGCAGTAATATTATAAGAGTTTTAATCTGTTGGTAAGATTATAGTCTGAAGATAAGAAACCTGTTATCAAACAATGACTTGACATTGGAATTAATATAACATTAACCTATTGTTATATATGCAGAGGATTCAAATTTTTACAAGTTTTGACGGTAAATGGCGTTGTTGAGAAAATATCTATTTGATTCATATTCTTAAATGTAAAAAATTCTCATCTTGATTATAAGTCTAAAATAAATAGAAAAAAAAACAAATGTCAAAGATAGTTATTTAAAAACATATTTTTAAAATCAAAATCTGAACCTAAAGATAACCATGTCGTGCCGCACTTGACGCTATTTTTGTGTAGGTATTAATATCCTGGCTATACCGCGTAAAGTTCTTACCTTTGCTATGGTTCCGGTAGGAACACTTTCTTCAATCGTGCAAAAGTTGCAAAAATTATCTCTTTGAAATACGAAGACTTTATATACTTGGGAATGTAATACGCAATTTAAAGTGTAAAAATCTTTGGATTGGAATAAGAGAACATGGACATGACATGGCCCTGTAGCAAACATAATAACTCTTTTAGTGTTTATATGAAACCATATTTCCTTAAGCTGTTTCAACACACAAAAAAGGTGACCATATTTTGTATTTTATTATGCTTTAATGTGACTCTTATCTTTATTACACAGATTAGAAAACTTGCTCGAGTAGAATCTTTACTGGACTTGATTCTTAGAGTATTAAATTTTATAAAATTTAGTGATTTACTAGAATGAACATACCACAATTTAATACACGAACAAACCAGGCTCATTTCCCTACTAACTATCTGTTATAATTCTTTTTTAAAATATTTTTTTATCCCCTTTTTCTTCAATATTTAAATTATTAAAGAAATTTAAAGCTTACTATAAAGTAAATTATCTATTGATAAAAGGGCGGGATAGTTGCCTTCTATTTTGATATTTGTTTTAAATAATTTGTTTATATTTTTTTTATTTTCTCTCTTTTTCTTAATCTCAAATTTAATACGAATAAGTTACATGTATCTTATGTTCCATAATAAACATATTTTATTTTTATTTTATTTATATTAATAAATACAGGTATTAAATCGTTAATTCATTAACTTGTAATACATTTTTATATAATATATAGAAATTACGTCCGTGTTTATAACAACGACGCCAATAGAATACATTGAACAAATTGTTGTGTAACATTGTACTCTCGCGTCGTTAACAAACTATAAACCAACATATCAATAACAATTTATTCAACGCATTTAAAAGTTCTGAAGGTCGACGCTTTTATAAGAAAAACACATTTGTATTAGTATTAATCTCGTATTTTTAGCCTTGCTGACTAACGTTTCAGACTGGGTAAAAATAAATTCCTGCCGCCAAAATCACTGACCTGTCCAGTACGATACTCATATGCCTATGCAAATTAGCTTTCAGGTCTCGCCGAGTATACGGGGCTTGCGGGCTCTGAGGTGAGGGAGGCGGGGTCCCAGAGGGGGCCCGCTTCCCTATCAGCACCCGCAACTCGGCCATCAGCGTATGCACCATGCGGAACACGACTTATCACCACTGCCTCACTTAAGCTTATGTTTTTATTTGAACCTTAATCAATCAGCTTGCCAAAACCCATTGGCTCGACTGTTGCATCGTCCAATTGTCACAGTTCCACGTGATAATCACTATCATCAATATCAATGCGAGCGTCTTCGCCTAGCGCGTGCGAGTTGTACACTGTCGGATCTCGTTCGCAATTGACCTCGTCGCTTTTTATAAGTCCGCAAGGTGCTCCCGACTAAATAATTCAAAGTATTATATTTAGGCAGAAATTTCGGTACAAGTGGAGGGTTGGATTTTTATTTCATTCAAGGGTCACTATGGTGAAGGGTGAAAGACCCCGCACGCGTGCTTCTAATACATTAATTACCAATAAACAATGAAAATGTAGGTCAGCTGCAGCGGAACAAAGGCTGCGCGAGGAAATAAGGTCAGACGAGTGTTGTTGGGTTCACAAATTGAGAGCTAAATGGGGCACTCTTCCGACGTGGAATAAGACCAAGGACGACAGAAACATGCAAACAAGTCAAGTAATGATTATTTAGACGTCTCTGGTGATGAATGCAGACAGTGAATCACCTGCACTGCAATAAAAAAAAATCAATGGCGCTACAACCTTTTTAGGTCTGGGCCTCAGATTTCTGTATCTATTTCATGATCATTTGTTTATCTAATAGGCAAGTAGGTGATCAGCCTTCTGTCCCTGACACACGCCGTCACAGATACAGAAATCTAAGGCGCAGACCTAAATAGGCGTAGCATCACTGTTTTATTTAAGGTCTATAATACAATCAGAAAAATGTGTGTGTGTAAAGATATCCTAGCATTTAAAATAACCGACTTTGAACATGAATTGTGCGTGCGGTTCAGGGAGAGGTAGAAATAGAAACACCTGACACAACCGACACCGGAAGTGTGGCTGGGCGAACGTACGACGGGCGTCTATTATAAGTTCAGAATATCAAAAAATATTTATTGAGAAGAATTCACGCTCGTTCTTGATAAGTTAAATGAAAAAGTGAATATATTAAGACGTAACTATTGAAACTTTGTTACCTACGTTTGTGAGAAGGCCCTTAAACAAAGGCCTACCGTGACTCAAACAAAATCCTGACACATTGTTTCTTGATCGACTAGGCCGTTCTAGAGTTAGAACAAAACTTTCACCAATATCGTGAATAGACAAGATTAGATCAGTATTATAGAGTGTAATCGACAAGCGTAGAGCCTAATGCTTCCGACGTTAGCACAATGTATAAAGGAAGTATCCGCGGTTTCCTGGATCATATAGGAATGACTGATCGTAGCGAATCGTTGAAAGTTGACGGAATGATTTCATGTCCACTATTAATCGACACTTATACAACGTCGTAAAAAGTTGTGTTGAAAGTAAACAAGTTAATGAGATTCTTCTTAAATGATTGATAATTATCATTCTCCACGTCCCATTTTAAGACAATTGATTGGTTTCACATGACGTGAAAAACTGCAAGTTAACAATAGCCTCGACATCCCTGACCTATTTTTTGGTGTCAATTAATTCGGACAACATTCATACCACACAGGTCGTAACAACACTTGTATGCAATATTAATTAGCCCCTTATTCGCCATACAATATAGTTTACCGTCCTGTTGAGGAATTATTAGGTTAAGGACGCGATTAAAGCTTGACCTAATTCAGATAAACCTAATGCAACACTTACAGGTGGTACTTCAGATGGTCCTCCAGGTTATTTGAGTATAGTTTTCTGTTCTGGAAGTTTCAACACTTAACAATCACTTAAAAATTGTAAAACAAACGTTCACTATGAAGCAGCGCGGTGTACAAAATGAGTGCGCGCGTCCCTCTTCCCGTTCGGTGAATGAGGGTTGGGAAGGGTGGCGCCATAGCTGTTGCCTTGTGGCTACGCGTCAATCAATATGCGAGATGAGAAGACAGGCTAATCGACAAGCTGTTGCTGTGTAATTAATATACATACAATAACAATAAAAAGCAAATAGTCTTTGAAGGTAGTAAATTAACGACAAATTTATTCAGTCAGTAGTGAAATCGAATAAGGCTATTTTAAATTAAATATTCAAAACTCTTGCACTTGAAATCGACGTTTCGTGTATCGTGAACTGAATATTCGTTCAAGTGAAGCGAGTTGCGGATATGTAGTTCAGGATTACGATTTATATAATCAGAGTGAACTTAGGTAATTAGTTTCAGTTTCAACCTTGACATGAGTGAGAAGTTAAAATGATATGTATATATAATAATAACCACCAGAAAGAAATCTAACAATCAAAAATATCCATTACGTTGAGTACAGTAATTTAAAATCGAAGTTTTCTTTACTTTAAAACAATACTCTGTTAACCAATTTAATATGAAACCCAACAATTATTATAAACCTACAAAAAATGAACAAAAGCCGATATACCAAAGGAATGAAACAGGTTTTTTGTATGCAAAGCGGTGCAAGGTTCGAGTGCAACGCCGATTGCATACATTTTGTTCAGTGCCACCAAATTTTGTGTGACATTCAGATTTTATACGAAATCTTACATAGAATACAAACCACAACATAATATAAATTGCAACATTACCATGTTTATAATAAAAATATTTTAAATATTTTAAATCTAATATATGTAATTCTCGTGTCACGGTGTTTTTAATTAAACTCCTCGGAAATAGCTCGACAGATTTTCGTGAAATTTTGTGTGCATATCGGTAAGGTCTGCGAATCGGTCAACATCTATAAATATTAAGGATGGTCCGGGCCACCCCTAAATTTTTTATTTTATTTTTTAGACAAAATTTTTTGTTTTTATTTTTTTATGATACAGCATACAAATACATACAATCCTTAATTTTCACCCCTCTACGATTAACCCCTATTTTTAATTTATTAATTTAAAACTTATGACTTGAATTCTGTGGTTTATATAGAGCAGAATTCATAGAAAAACCTAAAAGTTTTCATTCCGGAAATCCGAACAGTCTCTGGGGGTAGCATAGCAAAATTTTCCATGTTGGTATGTACTAAAAAGGTAGGCAGCTAGTATAAAAATAATAAAGTGTTTAAAACCATAGTTTGTTAATTCCATATAAAATGGTTACCATAGCAACAAACTCTGTAACCTTCACTTAGCCAGACACCCTGCACGTGTTATTTATCTAAAAAGGAACATTGGTTATCATTTTCAAATGCAATCAACGAAATCAGGGCGATAGGGAACAAAATGATACTAACGATGTGATATAACAACGCAAGTTACGCAACGCTGTTACGTGCGGTGTAATGACACGCACTATCTCTGCTATCGAAACGCATCGTTGCGAGAACCGACAGCAAACGATTCGTCTAACGTGCTGTTATCGGTGCATCGTATTAATTACTTAAGTTATGCACTTTACCGGTTATGTGTAAGTGCTACTGGCATTTAAATAATCATATGATACGACTCGTTTAGTTTTGTCTTTATTTCGTCCGTCGATATACTGAATGTGCTGTGTGGAGAACAACTTTCGTCTATTATATTATGGCTTAAGTTTGCGACTATTGACGTCGTGATCGAATCGCCATGGATTATTTAAATGTGCGCTTGCTCTTACTGTGAGGCCACTGGCATACGAAAAATTTACGACTTGTGTCAAGCGCAGAATAAAAATAATATTCCGTTTCAACGAAACGGATGCAATCCGCGGCCAAGTCGTATAAAGGGTTGTAGCGCCATTGGATTATTATTATTAAAATAAATAAGTGTTAAACGTTCGTGATCGTTCATCTCTGAAAAAAATAAAATATAAAATATGTAGGTACTTTCAAATACTCTAATATTTTTTGTGTAGTTCCACTTGAAGAAAATTAAACTATTACAAAAAGAACCTCAGTTAATTAGTGGAAACTTTGGTAAAAACAATCAACAAAAACTCGAATCTTGTTATTTCAATATGTAATATTTTATAATAATATATCACGTAATGTGCGTTGTTCATAAAGCGTTGGCTATTTATAAAAATATATGTCCAAAGTAGAACCGGATACATTAATAATTGTGAAACGCATTGACTATAAAGAATTGAAGTAGACTACGAAATAAATTTATAGACTTGACGAAAAATTAATAGAACACAAAGTCAATGTAATTTATTAAATTGTTTATTGTGATTTGTTCAAAGGACTGTTTCCGGACCATTCTTTACATACCGTATATTTTTACGATACCTTAAAAAACATATTAAGATATATACGGCAAGTCTACATTAAAACGTCGCATAATTAATAATAAGATTGGGTCATATTTTATTATTATTTTTTTGAAGTCCTAATACAACATGTATGTTTGAAATATAAAAGAAAATATAACTTCACAAATTTTACACACATACACATTATATCAGAACATAAAAATGTTAAACTAGCAAGAAATAATTTTTTTAGTGAATACTACAATCCAGCCGTGTACTGGAAAATTATAGAAGGTATTGTTAACATCTAAATCTAATTTAATTACAAGGATTGTATTACACAAGTACATGCCAATGACGTGACAGCAATGGTCCGAGTAGATAATTAAACAAACATCAATACAGTATAGAAACACTAAGAGCTATGGACAAGATTGATATATGGTATGAGAAAATCGCTGCATAATGTCGATGTTATTATTATGCAACTCGTGACATGTTTTATAACGTACCTTATGTAATACTTTTATGTCCTTTTTGCAAAACACATTCAAGTTACAAATGTAAACTATGAAGGTCGAGAGAAATCAACAGATTAGTGGGCATCCATTTGTATGAAATGATAAACAAGAGGAATTAGCGTCGGTCCGAGTTAATCTGACCGCAAGGGAACGGGCGCCATCGACTTTCGCTTTCTTTGTTGTGAAAGTGATGATTGCGAATGCAACAAAGCAATATCTTGCATCCTAAACTCATCTATTGAGAATTTACTGTGCGTCAACATTTACACGAAGATAGGCCGTGAAACTTTCAAAGTAATTATTATCTGTAATTGCATGCGGTGTGACGGATTATTTTTTTAAAAACATGTTGCTAAAGTGTGCATAATAATTATCTCTAGCTGTAGATTCAGAGGTAACTTGGATTAATTGCGTGCACGACGAACAGAGATATACGCGTTGCCAAGTCGGTCAATGCAATCGATAAGAAGTGTTTGTGGAGTATTTTAATTTGTCTTTGTCTATTCTCTTCTTGTTACATGAACGAACAACTGCTGAACATGAAAACAAAAGCAAACTTTCTAAACGATGACTTTCTCCTAAGTTCGGCACGTAGATATTAACTGCCCTTTATTAACCACAAATTATCTACAGATTAGAAACGTTATCACGCGATGCATTGGCTTCCTATAACAGATTATTAACTCTAACATAATAAGAAAGTTCACGAAGGTACTACAAGTGTACTATGTAGATCTGGTTGTCTAGAACATGATTTCTTTTTTTATTATTATTATAAAAAGACTTCGTACACAGAAGTCTTTCTATGAATAAGACGTATCAATATTCATACTTTTTAACTGTGCCAAATAAAATGTTACATGTTACGATGACATATTAGCGTAGGTTGCGCATAATCATAACTTTAAATGTACATTATTTCAGCAAATATTCTCCGTAGGTGTGTAACAGAAAATCGCCCTAGAAGGTGAGCAATCATGGGCGTGGAGTTTACTTTACATTCAAGCACTCAAGGCTCATGTTTACGACGTTATCTAAACTGATGAAAAATTCATTGTAACTAAGGTGTTTCAAAGGTTTGGCTATTTATGTAAAAAATAAATCTTGCGACACGACAACTCTATTTAGATTTGATTTCTGTATTTAATTATATTTTTTTAGGCGAGTAGGTGATCAGCATTCTACGTATTAGACATACCAGAGCTCTTTACTCTGTAAGTTTTCATAACGTCAGCGGCCAGCGCGACACAAGCGCTACGGATATAGAAAGAACTACATCGAACTTTTATAAAAAAAACCCGGTACTTATGGCTGTCGTTATTAAAAGACAATCAATATCAAAGGAATATCAATTTCTCAATTTTCCGTTACGCGCACACAGTAAATCCATTGCTTCACAAGTGGGCTGAAATGCAAGCTACGGCGTAACTAACGTCACAACGTTAAGTTCAGTTTGTGTTATTTTAGTCCAACTACAGGTGTATTGTTTAAAAATAGCATGACATGTTAAAATAAAATGGGGAGAATTGAAATTAGTATGTAATTTATACACCGGCTTAAATTTTAGTTAGCATTGTTAAATAGATGCTAATTGAGTCATAAAAATGGATGACCGACTAATTCAAGGTCGCTCGAATCATTTGCATAAAAAATAAACAAAAATAACAAACGTAATATATAACTAGTTTAACAAAATTCGTTACGACTATTAGAAGTATATTTAATTGGAGATTTCAGCAGTCTTTTTAGAGACTTTGCGTTATGACTATTCGTGTGTCTTTAAGAGATGGCTGTTTCCGGGTGGTGCGTGACTTTCAACGCTGTCGTGCGTACAAACTCTGGTTGTACTTTTCACCTTTGTACTTGGTCATAGTAACGAGGGAAGCACCAGGTGCCGTTAGAAAATTTACAAGGATTCCATATAAAACGTATTTGATTTTAACACACGAATGTCATAGTTCGCGCTTAGCTGAATCCTACCCATAATCAAGTACGAAATCGTTGACGAAACTCAATAAAAATTTCACAACCACCTATTTTTGTACAATTTAATAAGAACATTCATAAATCATACGATAGCCTTGCATTATTACTTGTTAAAAGTTCACAGTGCTAGCTAAATATACCGGTTGTTTCACCTTGAATTACACAGTTTATTTCGCCCGATACAATTTGATGAAAACCAGCCTTTACATTTCTTGTGAATGAAAATTTCAAACAAAGAACATTTCCACTCAGCGATTTGAAAGTTAAATCGTTTACGTTCTCGATTTTAAAATACACGAACCTTTGTTAGATTTTCGTCTGAAATTTTATTCTAACATTAATAATATGTAATGACCCGATTACATATATCAGTAGGTCAAAAGACGTGTTAGGCAGAAATTGTCGAATCAAAAACAAAATTCATTAGTTAGTGGTTAATAATAATTTTAAGCAATTAATAAAATTAGCATAGTCGTTATTAAACGAGTGTGAAAACATGTTACTATGTAACTCGTAAGATTTTATTACAATTAATATTATGTTAAAAAACTAGGTGGAACAGATTATGTTGTTATTTAACGATAAAAGTAACTTTAAATAGGAAATACAATATATTCTATAATCACCATATTATACATACTTTTTGCTTTAGTGTTACTATTTACAAAGAAGTTAATGTCCGAAGTCAAATAACGAGGGAGGTTTAAAATTCGACGTGTATGCCATTATATATTAATAAATAAAGTAATATTTAGTAAATATACCAATTTTCTTATTTAATACCCTTCAAAGGAATTGATTACGGATTCTTTAGAATAAAATAAATTATGCGTGTACTAGGTGTACACACGTAAGAAGTGAAACTTCTTTATGATCTTATTTTTCGAAAAATGATCTACTATATGCAACTTTACAGAAATTCGTTAAATTAGATAAAGTTTAACAAAAGGCTTTTATTATCATAGACATGAATACAAATATTTCATTTTACCTTATTACTACGAAGATTATTATAGAATTTCATTAATTGTAATAGAATTATTACTATCATTGAAAAACGTGACGATTTGCTACAAAATTTCACCCATACGTCGATAAAGAAGTTTCATTCCAACGCCGATAAAGAAGTTTCACTTCAAAAACGTCTATAATATAGGATACTGTGCCTTCTTGATTTTTTATTCAGCTAAAAATAATTACAACTTGGTAGTTATATTTTTAGGTGAAATAGTGCAGGATATAAGAGGTTTATATAGTTTGAAGTGTCTAATAGTAAATAATTATCAAATAATCTAGGGACATCGCGACATTTTCCCATTTGAGTTAGTATCAAATACTTCAGCCTGTACGGAGACAAATTAACAAAAATCAAAGACTAAATAGATAATATTCAAGCTCAATTCTTAACACTACAAATATTTATGCATATATTCTAGGTATCAACTATCAGAGATACATTAGAATCAGGGTTAATTAGAAATGTTGGTAGCTCCCAAGGTTTAAACTTGACATTTGCTACACAATGATAATGAATAATCAATATTTGTTACATACCAAGAGACGAGTTAAAACAGTTTTTATGTATATTATACTGACTTACTTTATTTAAATCATGCATCGTATGAAACTATATATTGTAAAACCTATTTAAAAAAGTTAGTGTGGAGCCCATTCTTCTCATCACGAAACTACCTTTTGGAAGGGACAACTAGAAATATCTTTATATTTTATTTAACGTTCAAAGTGCCAATTTAGGTAGTCTAATTGAAATAAATGATTTGACTATTAACTATTGACTAGTCTACAGTAGTACAATATCTGCGCCATGCCGTGTAATAACTAGTGACCATCAATGGCTACCACGCTGTCGGGGCGTTTCTTTTCAGATTTGAAACAAGGAAAGCTTGACTTACCCGATAAAGTTTTTAATGAAACAATACACGGCAAATAGGGTCGCATCGTTGAGGCCAAGTTCTGGCTTGATCCTGGGCAGAGCTATGGATGGTGACGCCGAGTCCGGCGGCGGGCCGCGCACCTCCGGCGTAGCCGCGCTCATGGCGGTCCGCGGCCGCTCGCCTGCCGAGTGAGGAGCGATCGTGAGGCCTGCTCAGAAGCCTTCACGCTCAACCACCGGCCGGCACCAGCGGCGCCTCGCGGCACACCGCGTCTCCGCAAGCTGCTCGAGCGAGAGCCGGGCGGACGCCGGCCACAATACGATATCGATCGCGTTCGTCGCGCCTGCGCTGTGTTCGCGACGCTCGTTCGCGCGTTACACGTCCAGCATGAGGAACGCGAGGTAGATAACGAGAAAGAACCACGGGCAGAACAAGTACATGCAAACCGACATCGTTAGCTTTTTAAAGTCTGTTTAAGTTATAAAATGTCTTTGGGAATTTTATGGGAGTGTATGGGATGCACGTGCGGCGCGTGCGTCTGTCGGCGCGGCGGCACTCTGACTGGACGTGCCTGTGGCGTGCTCGCGCTCTGCCCGATATCCGCTCACCACACACTATCTATACGTTCCGCTCATACGCACCGTCAACACCTTGATTTACATGTTGAAGATGCGATAGCCATAAAGCCACAAAAGGATACCGTAACTTTCTTTAAAATCCATATTCGATAACTTGTGTAACGTTCGTACATAAATACAAATGTTTAGATTTACCTTAATGCAGTAAATTTTAACTATAAAAAGGAACGCAAGCCACGAATCTATGCGGGTATTTCTTCTTAATTGAAGTAGACATAAACAGTAAAAATAGAACTGATAACTAAAATAAATCGGTACTTGAACAATACTCTCTTTCATTGTAATAATTACTGTAGTCCTGATTATTACAAAGTGTACACTATCGTTTCATCGATAAAAGTCACGATTGAAGTGATAATAGCATTGTTAAATGTTGAAATATAAATTGCATATCTTTATTACAGACAATACAAATTATAATATAATAAAATAGATGACTATTAATAATCATGAGCAACGCACATGAAATACGAAACCCTAAATAGTTGATCCACGGTCAATGTCCCCACGCGAACTTCGTTCGCCAAGTAACGAGTGATCATTAAAAAATTACTTTTCATTGCGGTGAAATCATTCAAATTTTTTCTGTTCATAATTGGTGGTAGAAAAACATCATGTACTTTTAATTTGAAAGATACTCGAAGAAATAAGTAGATTATTAAAAAAACTGGACGAATAGTTTTATTATTATGATTATAGTATATCAGAACATAGTATTCAAAGCTCGATAGAGTATATAATACTGATTTAGGCCACCAAAAGTCATCTCTATGCGATATTAGGTTGCGATCAGATCAAAAAAAACTAACAATTTTAAAAGTATAGTAAAAAATAGATATGTATATGTAATTTGGTAGGCATTTCATAATTCAAATTAAAAAAAAAACTAAAACGTTAACTCTTAATGAACGATCATGAGTACTACAATAAGGTCACATACATTGACAGTTTACAAAGCTGTATTGTGATAGAAAACAGGGCAGTCAACTTCTAAGAAGATAATTTAACCCTGACGATAACGTCCTACTCGATTACTGGGAACATAAGTGAGTCAGGAATTACACTGTAAAAAAAAAGATAAGGAAAATCCTGACCATTCGCCGAGGTAAACAATGAGAAAATTAATTGGAACATCTGTCTTGATAAGTATTAAGGATACTGGGCTTATGCATCGTAAATGTCACGATTTTTTGGGTCACGTATAAAGGAAATTTTAATTCAAATTAATTACATTACAAAACGTTCTTAAAAAGGAAAGTTTCCAGCTCCTTTTGTAATATAGCAATGAACTCATTCCTAAGACATTTTCACCGGGTTAAAAGTTTCGCAAGCAACAAATTAAATAAATATTTACGGACCTATTATACATACTGCATATAACACCGTTAGCAATAGTTTTAGGGAATAAATAGGATACATTTAGTCCATGTTTTTTAAGAGTTTCAAAAATCTAATCGTGGGTGATAACAAAAATCACTGTTTATATTCAAAATATCATCAGGCGTACATGAAATACAACATAGTATCGTCAAAATAATATGATCAGAAGCCAAGACCTTTGCTAAGTGCAAAGCAATAATAATTGTAAACACAAATCGTGAATTTATCACGACACAGTACAAATTAATTACCACAGAAATTACATTTTCACAACAGCATATTTTATTTATTGAGGAGGAAATTACAATACTCATGTACAATATTCAAGCACATAATATACAATGCAGTCAGGTAAATTATATACGTTTAAATTATGAAAACAAAGCATAGACACATAGCAGTCAGAGCAGAACATATAAATTATGTAAATTGCATACTACGTTATGAACAAAAAAAAATTTGTCAGGATTTTAAAAATTAATTAATATTTGTGTATATTGCAACAACTAGAACACAAAAATAACAGACAAATAATATATTCTATTAGCAACAATTTACACTTATCGTTAACCCAGAAAAACATTTACATATTCTGAATAGCGAATAGACAGATAATGGTAATAATGAGCTTCGTGCAGCAACATATACAGAGGCGTAACTTAACATTTCATCTGAGGACTTGCAAGGGCCCCAAGTCTACGGGGCTACAGATAATCTTAACATGGTCTTGTTTATAAATATGACTGATTATAGGCCAACAAATACAACTAGTACCTCGTGAAAAGCTATTGTTAAAAAGCGTGGCGAAGGTTTTGTCATCTCGTCCATTCTACTACCTTTATTTGAAAATTCAATGTTGTTAACTGGCTTTGAGAGGCATAATAGGAGTTTTGGGCCCAAAACCCCTTATAACACGCTTTTCCTACACCCCTGGCAGCACAAACACATCTTGTGTGATCATTGGTCGCATTCGTGAGTCGAGAAAATTACTAAGTTGCATTTGTAATCAGCGCTATGGAGTCTCACAGTTCGCGTGGATCGTAACTTTGAATAACGTGATTCGTGAATCGGCTACAGGAAATAAAATTTAATTCTCACAGCCACACTGTGATTTCATATTTAAAAGCTTGAAAGGTTATCAAAAAGTTAGGTTAAGCATGTACTTTTTATGTGGATCTCGTACCGTAACTCTCATAATATATCTGGATATTCGCAGAATGGAGAGCTTGCAAGACTCATCTGAGTCACTGTCTGCCTCTTCCTCTCAGGCTACCATTAAGACTTATTAAAAAAAAATCAAATTATATACGGCCCCGGTCATACTTAAATATTTTTCATGATCTACCCCATGCTGCATACTGAGCAGTTAAAAAAAAATGCGTTTACTATGTTCCGCATATTAGATCAAAAACTAGAAATAATCATTTACATGAGAAACTGTGACAACAGGATCTATTACGATAATATCACCACGACGGTGCAATCTGTTTATCTCAATGGCTATGGTGTTTACGTCGCCTCGGCTACTGTACTTACGCAAGTCCAATTTCCCGCTATCGGCAAAGCACGCGCTGATCTATGGCGCAAGCTTTCATCATTCTCATTACGAGTAATAGTGTGCAATAGCACCAATCCACTCCACTCCTATCTCAATGTGCTATTTGTCACATTAAGGGCAATTTCGCATAAAGACAAATTATCAGACTATCTGGTCTTTTATCCGTTAGCTCGCAGTAAAGCTTTCCTGTAATATAATCTTTAATTGTGAATTCAAACCAACGCTTTTCGCTTAACAAACGCAAAGTTTTCACATTAATTTATAGTATAGTAAAATCCATCTATAGAAATGTGCGGTTCCGTTTTTAAATCATAGTGATTTAAACTAGATAGATTGGATCTTAAAGTTCATAATAAAATAACTTCTTAAATAGGTACATAAATCCCAGACAAGTGCAACGTTCCAAAGTTTAACGGCCCTTTGGATCAATCGAAAGTATTCAGACGCCTTTGTTGTACTACTGAAATTCGTTGTCTCGAACAAATTGAATTGAGCTGTAGCTTTGCTAGTTAATATTTATAATTCGTCCCTTTGACATCGGAGGTTCTTTCAACTTTAAGAATTACCTATGGGACCTTTAAAAAGTAATTGAGAGAATTAAATAAATAATCAGTAGTTTGTGATTGCAAGTTATATATGTATGCCCAACAACTTATCAGGGAACGATTTCAAATAATGAGGAGCGCTTTAAACCTATTGACACGGATTTCCACATGACATTTTCCTTGCATGCTCGTGGGTTATGGAAACGTTTAACGTGTCCAACGATTGATGCCAATCTTATATTTACTAAAAACTATTTCCATGTTGCTCTAAATCAGATGACCTTATTATGAAACAAAGATACCATGTACCTACTTTAAGCAAGGTAGGTACAAGGAGCTATCGACGCATGGTTTGAGCTTGCCGCCAAAAAGAAAACACAATGAATATGAAAAATTTTCTTTAAGCGGCCTAGGAGATGAATCGTCGTAGAGATTATTCAGTACAAAATCCCGCAATAGGCAACATTGATAAGATTATAGCTGTAAGTAGGCTACTTCCCATGGGTACCTACTACGTTTTTATATGTAAAAACATCGTAACCATGTCAACAAATACGACTTAACTCCATTTATAAGGCCAAGTATCATCGTATAGAATGTATCAAGTAATTGAAATTCTACACGAATGTCGGAAAACATGCAGTGCACTTTATCAGCAATCTGATTACTGCATGTGCCACTGAGGCCTGATCATGTTTAGCTACTTTATTTTGAAATAATAATTATAGTAGTGATATAAGCTGAAATAATAATTTCAAATAATATAACAAGACAATACGAACATCTGAAAGGAGAAAAATACATGCTCTGGAAATGTGGTGTTGGAGGCAGATGCGAAGGATTCCCTTGATAGCTTAAGAAACAAACATGTCTTAGGTATACTAAGACGGTTACAACTTACAAGCAAAAAACCGTCTTTCGACAATTTGTTACCAACGCATTCTAATTTTTGGACATGTAACACTCACACAGAAAGTTTAGAAAATCTTTTCGTGACTGGCAGAGGTGAGGTCACCAGACCTCAGGCCCACCCCTACTTG